GAGGTACAGTCTACATGTTCAGAGAGGTATAAAGTCTGAGATGTTTAAGGAGTCTTGGTCTTGTTTCAGCAATACATGACAGACAAAACTTCAGATACACACCTAAATTAGCTGCTGGAGCTGTATAAAACTTTGTGAAGCCAATTGGAAAAATGCATTCTTCTTCTAAGCAATGAAGCTCTCACTGCTGAATCATGGCACTTACAGGACCGGAAAGATAAAGTTGCCCACTCAAGAGCTTGTAATTTAACCTAGTATAGCTATTTTTATTTAATTTATTTTCTGGTGTTAAAATATTGCAGAGAATAGTGAGCATCGTTGAGATACTCCTTTCTTGCTTGCTCAACAGCTTTTACAGTAAAAGCGGCACATAATATAAAACAATTGGGTTTGGGTTTAGTAAGGTTAATGTCATTTCCTAAAGGATCACAAAAAGCCTAAGTTAGATGTTAAATTCATAAGCAATATACAAGGGTCATTTGAAAGACCGCAATAATCAAATAAAGGAAAGTCTTAAAGATATGAATTTCATATCCAAGTGACATTCAAATTTTGCATATAAGAGTTTTCAATAATAAATAAAAACAAGAAAGTGAATTTTAAGATCTATTTTATATTAAGAAAGTATTGCAGCAGGTGTGGCAAGTATTGCAATATAGAATTTCAAGAAAACAGTTTCTAGGGCCATGGTACTCTCTCTATTGCTGATCGTAAAAGAGCCATGCTATACTTGCTTGAGATCGTGATGTTCTTGTGGTAGGGGTGCTAGCTGAATAAACCACCTTCACCTAGTATTCATAAGTAGAAAACACTTAGACCTTCCCTACGCTGCTTACAAATGGGTAAACCTCACTCCTCCTCCACCTAACCCAAACTCCTCATTCAAGGCAGACAAAAGAACCATTGTCCGTGTCACACTGTGCTGAAACTACAAAAAGAGAGAGAAAACCATTCACCGCAAACTCACAAACCAGTGAAGATAACACTATATACAACCTTCCTATGCTTATTCAAAATAGTAGTTCTCAGAAAATCAATATATTTTTGTGGAATTCAGTTGTGGATCCCATATTGTTCATTATAATTTCTCTTTTCACCTACATGATGATGGGGCCTTTGCAGTAGGCTGCTGGAGGACAAATGCTAAGAAAGTTTGCCATCAAGGTCAAATGACTTTCTTACAGTTGTTCTTCAGAGGAGACTGAAATATGACATGCTTCTCAGTGGAATCTAATAAAAGGTCAAATTCCTGTAGCCCACATTTGTTCCTTTGGTCTCTTTTAGCTGCTGAATCAATACTACAGAATTGGTCTCTCAGCTTTCTGCATCGGTTGTGCACTGCTGAATGGATTGTCTTCATGGGATACACCTTCATTTACTCCTGAATACAAAGCATTCGATTTTGGGCATTACTTCCCTTTCTACAGTATGACTCTATTTTTCAACATGGCATCCTCATGTCAGATAAAAGGACTCTGAAGGAGGTATGGAAACATCATCTCTTTCTAGTGCTGCCACTGAGAACAGAAAAGAAGAGTCTTCCAAGTTTCCACAGTGCTAGAGGCCATAGGGAAGAAAGTATCTTAGTTTTACAGAAGAGTATATGCTTAGAGTTTCATTAGATAATTAATAGTTAAAAAAAAAAAAAAAGAAAAAAAAAGTCTCTGACAGGAAAACATGGAAGATCCTTGTGGCAGAGAGAGTATTATTTGGACAGGGAGGGTCGCATGAAAGGACAGGTTATAAAGTGGCTTCCTCTAGTATAAGGAGGAAGAAAAGTAATGTTTACCATCTGTGAAACACGATAAGTTCTTAAATGAGTATTTCTGCGTTCCTGGGTTTTCTTATTAGCTCAAATTAAGAGCTTTTCTTCTCATTATCATCTTTCAGAAGTATTTTGTTTGGTGACTACCTGAAAACTTAAAGATCAGAGGAGAAGTGACTAATTTGTAAGGGATTTTTTGAACAAGTAAATGGATATTCTGCACTTCTACCTACATCTGATTAGCTGTGTTAGATCATTTTGGTGTGTAGTGATTGTTTAATATCATTGGGGAGGTTTAGACAATGAAAAAAGTATATAATGTTTCAGGGATTTTCATGGTTTTGTGCTGGCAGAGGCTACTTACTTTGGGCACAGTGGAATGTGTCAACCATCTTTATTATTCTGCTCAGGTCTGGTTTTAGAACCATTCGGTTGGTAAATTTTAGACTGCAGGGAAGTTATTTCTCATTATGACCTGAACAAGAGTGTGCCTGGCTAAAGACTAGATGAGGATGTTATGTGAGGGGTGAAGTTTTGCTAATATAAATTTTTATATAATATAAATTTTGTAAAGATAAAAGTAATTGTTTAATTTTTTTTTCATGTGGGTTCCTAAACTGTATGTTACAATGAGATGTACATAATAAGTAGGGTTTCTTCCTGGATTGAAGCAATTCCTTACAGAAACTTAGTTGGTCTTTTGAAAATATATTTGGTTTCCCTGGGAGAATAGCCTTGTTGAATAAAAGTCTTAGTATGAATCAGATAGGTATAAGCACTCTGTGGCACATGCAGTGATGCCTGATGACTTGGTTGTATATTCAAAATGCTTTGGTGTGTTTGGATTGACAGCTGTTTTTACAGAGATTCCTTCTACGTACTGTAGCTTGTAGGCTATTAGATTTTATTTTATTTTTTTAAAGACATTTACAGAGTGCTTAGGAGAGCACTGTAGGTATAAAAGCATTTCAGAGAGAATTTGATGGTAGGATGAACACTATTAAACTTGTAAAAATCCTGTGAGTCTAGGTTTTCCATTCCTGATCAGGATGTCATCTCCATAACTTCATGAGCTTTGTGATAAGATTGTTTAAAAATCTGTTCTTTGCAGCAGCTCTGTAAAAAGGGGAGTGTAGATCTCTGGAAGTAACATTTTTCTGTATAAAGATGCAAAAGGGTGAATGCTAAAATATCTTTGGGACAAGGTGACAAATTTGAATGTGAGCTTATGGCAGTCACAAAAAAAAAAAAAAAAAAAAAAAAAAAAAGAGGAGCTACACAAACTAAGTAGTAGTGACCCATCTTCTGAAAAATGGGATTGGAATAGTCTCCTACATTAGCAAAAAAAAAAAAAAAAAAAAAAACCTCACTGAATGAATACTACTTAGTCAGCTACACCAATTAAAATTTTTTTAACTACTGCCATTTTTTTTAGGCTCAACTCTGAGCCCAGTAAAACCTGATGGAAGACTATCTTCACAACATCTCCTATATATTTTTAGTAACTCTTTCAGTATCATATCTTCCACTTCAGATCCTACTACAGCATTTCTAAGTAGAACCAGTATGTCCAGAAAGAAATTCTTCAAATTTTTTAACCCTAATGAGATTTGGTTTAAATATAACCTTAGGGACAAGGTCTCTACTTGAGTCATCAAATGCAAATATGTGTTTGGTTCATATTAGTCAACAAGAATACCACAGTCACAAGGAAATCTCCTACTCAAACTATATGGCTGTCTTCAGGTAGAAAGAATGACTCACATATATATTTTTCTAGATATCACCATGGAACAAATACACACAGCTGTCACACTACCTACCATTACTTTACTCTCACTTATAATTCCAGCAAGGAAATTGCAAACTTCACCCTTGGAGATACTCATAAATAGTTAAGTACCCTCTACCAACAGATGATAATATGGAAAAATAACCAATAAAACTACATAATGAACAACTACTGAACAAACAGAGCTATAGCACTCAAACACAGTCAAGTTATTGCCTGGGCTATTACAAGGAGTTTACAGTAATATCATTTAATTTTCTAGCTTCATTGCAATTATATCAAAGGTCTTTTACTCTTTTCGGATGTGTACCATTGCTTTAAAATAAATTCTATTATGATGTCCAAGGTAGAAAGGAAAAACAACAGAAAGTTGTTCAAGGTCACAGATAACCACGTTCAATTGCTTATTTGTGACTTTTCGTCATCTTCCTTTAACTCTTGGAAGTCAACTGATGGTCTTTTTTTTTTTTTTTTTTTTTTTTTTTTTTTTTTTTTTTTTTTTCCCCACTATAGATAAGTGAAGTTCAACTTCTTGATTCTGGATACAAATTGGAATTTGCACAGTTCAGGTTAAATTGACTTTGGCTTCATCTCACAACATCTGAAATCATACTGCAGTTCTCCGGTGCTTTTAGGACATAATTAGATAAATTCATAGATTAAGCTGCTCCTGGCAGCACTTGCTCTTCTGTGAATAGTGAACCAATTCCACAGCACATTGAAATACAAACTGTAGTTGCAATACCAAGTTGGCAATGCATCTTTGCTGTCGATTGTTGTGTGCCATATGGACCCACTTAAGCCTCTTCCTCTTTTGGCTCTTGAAGAGAAGGCAGCCATTGTGGCCAGTCATGAGGTCAGTTTGGAAACCAAATGGCCCAGGTGCAAAAACTTCAGCAGGGACATCTGCATACATGACTGGTTTTTTGGCTAGATTTATCCCTGCCCATATTTAGACACGATATCTGCCTTCTTGCGTAATGTTGCCATTTTCTGCCAAATAGAACCCAGTAAGTCTGTTCTAATTTGTATTGTAAGTGATCACAAAATACACCCAGTATATTGCTATTTTTTGTATCCTGTTCTACTCTTATACTTCAAATATGAAAAGAGCCAACATTCAGACTATTTCTTCTATCAGATAACACACACAGAACTTCAGGCGAAAGTTCTCAAACTGAAATGTGAATATTAATAATCTCTTTTTAAAAAGTTTGATGCCAGCCACCAAGGAAAGTAGAGATACTCAGAGGAAAGATTAGAAGTATAATTATAGTTATATTGATATGGCTACAGCCTCATACTTTGTACAAAACGTGAATGCTTTATCCTTTGATACACAATTCTTAAAAAGGCTAGATAGATGCATATTAATCAAGCTTGTTTTGTGCTCAACAGTATCACAGTTAAGAAATATCTACTAGATATTTAAATTATACTTACATTTCTTCTCACAATTCTGAGGCCCAGATAATCATGCAGGTCTCTTGTTTCTCACCTCACATAAATGCTATATAAGAAAAAAAAAAATCAGATACTTATCATTGCAGGGCTTTGATGCTATTTGAAGAGCAAGCAAAATGCATTCTAAAGGAACTCATGCATTTCATATATTAATACCATTCTGCTGGTATATGTCATGTTTGTCACTCTTAAAACATCAAGTTCAACATTCAGCTTGGAGAAAGCACAGATAAAGGGTATCTGTGCAAAACCTTAACAGAGTGTGATCCACCACTGCATCATTCAACGTCTATATTGTTCTAACAGCATGTGATGCAAGAATCAAGGAATAATGAATCAAGGTCACAATATCTGACAAAGACTTTATAAAATTACTATTAAAAAAAATCTCTCATAAAATATACAAAATATATTCATACAGATATAGTAGTTATGTCCCATACCAGAATTCTTCTATTCTCATTACCATAATATATAATATACTTACAGTTTCATACTATGCTTTGTTATAGCCTTTGTAGTTTTAAAATGGATTAAACCCATCCTTTCTTTACTGGGGAAAACCACATCTCCAATGCAATACATTTCTGCTCTGCCTTCCTCTATCTTTTGTGCCAAACCATTATACAAAACCGTTTTGTCACTTTGGTTATTTTTCCTGAAGGAACATATGTCTACGGGACACACTGGACATAGTATCTACAGAAAACTGACTTGACTCAAAAGCACAAAACTGATACAAATAGAAAGTATAGCACTAAGGAGTTTTGCATCAAGCTTTTCAGGCTGGCATAAACTGCACTGAAATGAAGTTCTGCTAGCAAATAAAAATGCCAATGGGGAGCTGCATCATGGTCAAAGTAGCTTGCAATTTTTAATTTTACTTCACATAAGGAAGTGCCATACTCCCTGCATAGCATTAGCTTTGAGTCTCCTCAGCAGTAGCCTTAACCCTATCCACAGGCATTCAAGAAATGAATGTACGGCAGGAACAAGATTTTGTAGCCTGCTGCCTCCAGAAAAAAGCAAAGACCAAACCAAAACAAAAAAAACCCAACCAACCAAACAAAAAAACCTGCAAGAATGCTTCTCCTCCCAGGAACGAAGTAAAATGAAGGTGACAGTCTGGAATGCTAGTGAACTGGCAGTTATTTGACACTGAGTCTTTGTCAAATGACAGACAATAGATTTCAGAAATATGTGAGCAGTAGCAAATACTTACAAGCCTTTGGAGAGCCCTAGAATTTATTTTTAGGTATTTTATACCAATGATATGGAATAAATGCATCCAGAAAAGTGTTTAGGATTCCAGGCACACATGCAGCACTCTGATTGGCATCTCAATAATGCCTAGGAAACACACAGGTTCCTTTGCTTGATTTTTATGTATGGATTCTGCCTCATATTAATAATGATCTGTTCCATTCCATCACAAAGTTGCACGGCTCTCCTTCAATTACTACAGTGTTGCAACTTGAGCTTCATGATTTAAAACATCACCTAAAGTATGCAGCAGTTACCTAATCTAGTATATTGCATGAATTATATATAAATATATGTTTGTGTACAATATATGTGCGTATGCTACTCAGATTATTTTTCCTTTTGTACTAATACATAGCAAACCCAAACTATTTGTAATCCCACGATTTTAAGGAACTGCTAAATACCTCCCTTGTAGTATATCACAAAAACAATAATCATTTTTTAATGTAATTATCTGTAGGTAACAATACTGATATAGAAACACTGGGATCCTGATACCACAACATGTTGAAATGCGAAGAACACATTCAGCTTTGTTGAGCTAATATCAATTGTAGCAGGCAAACTCAGCACAATTTTTCTAACATGCCATACAAATGTCACATGCTGTATACATGAAGATGTGTGTGATGGCCATACCATCTCCACAATATCAGTCCTGCCAAAAGATACTGGCTAGAAGCCAAAGTCACAGCCTGTTCTCTAATGAAAACAGAGAGATATGATAAGAGAAGCCACAATCAACACCAAACATACTGGCGTAAATCTTTACAAATGCAATGCAAGTGCCTTAGATTTGCTCGTTCTGTTTACTTCTAAGGTTTTCAAGTCAGCCTTCTTGAATCCGCCAATTTCACACTGGCTTTAGACACATCTGGAACTACTAAATTGCATCTTTAAAAAAAGCAGACTTCACCAAAGTACTACTGGTCTCTTTGCATTTCCTAGAAAACTAAAGAATTGAAATCCCTTACAGAATACATGACATAATGTGCTTTAGTTACAGCCATGAGGCTGCTCCTTTTCCCCACTGTTCCCTTGTTACCAGTTTATCAGATGGGACTTTTCACCCGCACACAGTCAACCTAGTTGTAACTAGGAACTCTGCCTTCTCCCCACAGAACAGGAAGATTTAGCTGCCTTACCTGTATAAAGATATTTGGAAAACTAAGATGTTTGTTCAAAGATAAGATCAACTTGTAATATAAATTATTTATGACATGTTGAGTTCTATGTTAAATTTGCATTTGTCAAATCACTACAATGCCCCTTTGAGTGTTTCAGGCTTACCTATAATTGGGGAAACAAGTTCTTCTAAGTCTTCATGATCTCAATATTAATACGGTGCCTTTACAAATGTTTATGTGAGAGAATTCTTCTTCCATCTGAAGAGAAAACCTGAGAGAAATGACAATGACAGAATCTGTAAATTTAACCTTAAAATACTTACACAGACAGTACTGTATTTAATTGTCAAACCATCACAGTATCAAAACAGAAGTGATTGTCATGTTCTTAATCAGACCAAATCTGTAACAAGCTTAAAGGAAATCTCTCGATATCAGACTCTACAAAAGACTATATCAGCACACATGTAAAGGATTTGGGGTTTTGAGATAACCAGCATTGAACAATAATCTTCTGATAAACCTCAGATTCCAGATGGTCTTTGTGGGTTTCAGACTAACCCTAACCCTAAACCCATCTGTAACCCTAATCCTACCTCTACCCCTAATCCCTAAACAAACCCTAACCCTAACACTCACCTAAAACCAAACCTAACCCTACCCTAACCCTAACCCTAACCCTAACCCCTAACCCTAAATCCGAACCCCTAACACTAACCCAAACCCTAAACCCTAACCTTAACCCTAACCCTAATGGCTAACACTAGCTTTAACCCCTAAACCTAACCCTAACCACTAACCATAACCCCTACCCCTAACCAAAATGGCTAACCCTAACCCCTAATCCTAACACTAACCCCTAACCCTAAACCTAAGCATAAACCTAACCCCTAACGCTAATCCCTAAATCTAACCCTTAACCCTAACCCTAATCTAACAATAAACCTAACCCTACCCTAAACCTAATCCTAAACCCTACCCCTACCCTTAACCCCCTAACCTCCTAAAACTAAACCCTAACCCTAACCCAATGCTAATGCTAAACCCTAACCCTCTAATGGCTAACCCTAAACCTAACCCCAATGGCTAACCCCTAACCCTAAAGTTAAACCGTAAACCCTAACCCTAATGGCTTAAATTTAAACCTTAACCTAATGGCTAATCCTAAAGGTTAACCCTAGCCCTCTAACCCTAACCCTAACGACTAACCCCAATCCCTAACCTTAATAGCTAACCCTACCATCCTAACCCCTAACATTCATATAAAATCATGATGAGCTATCTGGCTAATTTTTAAAAGTAAATTTAGATAGTTTTACTGGTTTGATAATAGTTAAAGTAATATTCAGTACAAATATGATTTTTAAGAGGACAACTTGAGATCTCCTGTGAGAACAAATCACAATATCCTCACATAGGTCTCAATATTTTTATACAGGTATTCGTTGAGAAATACAGTAATTTCTTTATTCTTCCACAAATGAACAAAACACACTCTTCTACTTTACAATCTCTGTGATAATGTTCATGACTAAACAGTGTATTTAGACCAAATGCTAGTCTCCAGATATCCTTACACTAGCACTATTTTTATTTTGACACGAGTCCTTAATTAATTGAGCTTCTTGATACTATAAGCTATAGAAGATCAACTACATAAAAATGAGATGTCAAATCTTCCCCATATATCAGGCATAATGCTATTTTCATCATATCTTTACAAGACATCAGATATGTTAATATTTATGGAGTATACACGGAGGAATACAGCTAGAATTAATAAATAATAAAGCTAATATTTTTTGCAAAAATAAATCATCAGATATCTCATTATAAACTGGATGTCTTCAGTTGTAGATAATTTAGTACAGTCATAAATAACAGGAGTACACAGTGCTGATGGAATTATATTTCATTATTTAAAATATCTTGCTACTCATATAAGAATGTATTCTTTTGTGTTCAAAACCACAGAAATAGACAGAACTGGTTTAGAATTGAGGGTACTTTCCAACAAATAAAAATGAGGTTGCCTCTGACACGCCAGCTAGACGTTATTGAACAGGTATATATAACAAATATTTTTCAAATCATGAGAATCACCTGGGATGATCTTGTCTATGTTAAGATGCAGTTCAGAGAAGTTTAGCCCATTGTTCCTATTGTCTCAACAATAACAGACATCTTCCATCTTGAACAAGGTGTTATCTTACAGGTTTTAACCCTGTCACTTTGAATCTTACCTGCAGAATGAAGTAAAGAATCAATAAGGAGTGAAGGTTTAGGGGGGGATTTTGTGCAACAATTAATTAACAGAAATTCTTGGTTAAGACTTTATAAAGATTTTGAAAAAAAGTTTGTCACACCTAATGATACAACAAAAATGTATCAAAGAATTTGGTGTATGTTGATATCTATATTCAATACTGTTAATGCTTGTTTCAGTTCTGATGTATCCAGTCTCATCGTTCAGTTTTGTAAAAAATCACTCCCAAATTTGTGCAGTGCCATCTTTTGATCCAGGGAGACTACATGCCACACACAGTATTTTGAGAAGCGCTGTAGCACTGGCCCCTTTACTCCATAGCTAGGATTTTCAAAGCGTGCTGGAGAAAGTAGGTATCAAGTTCTCATTGATAGTCAAAAGGGAACTCTTGCTGAACTCCATTAGACCTCTTCATTTGTAAAATCCCAGCCTACATTCCTTGACATGGGACATGTCTTCATCCTTTTTCTAATCTATGTCTGGTATGCATTGTACAAGTGTTAATTAACTGATAGCAACATAATTAAGAAAATGTTGTTATGGATCATTGTAATTCAGTTTCAGACACTAACAATGAAATAGGAATACAATTTTAAAACAGCAATTTGCTGCCAAACACAATAGAAATAGGAATATCAACATAAAGTTATGATTAAAACTACAGAATCTTCAAAAACTGTAGGAGTTTCAATGGCCAAATGCCGGGGGCTGCCCTTGGGCCACAACAACCCCCAGCAGCGCTGCAGGCTTGGGGAGGAGTGGCTGGAGAGCTGCCAGTCAGAGAGGGACCTGGGGGGGGATTGACAGCTGGCTGAACAGGAGCCAGCAGTGTGCCCAGGGGGCCAAGAAGGCCAATGGCATCCTGGCTGGTGTCAGCAATAGCGTGGCCAGCAGGGACAGGGAAGGGATCTGACCCCTGTACTCAGCACTGGTGAGGCCGCACCTCAATGACTGTGTTCAGTTTTGGGCCCCTCACTACAAAAAGGCCATTGAATGACTCGAGCGTGTCCAGAGAAGGGCAACGGAGCTGGGGCAGGGTCTGGAGCACAGGTCGTACGGGGAGCGGCTGAGGGAACTGGGGTTGGTTAGCCTGGAGGAGGCTGAGGGGAGACCTCATCGCCCTCTACAGCTCCCTGAAAGGAGGGTGCAGAGAGCTGGGGATGAGTCTCTTTAATGAAGTAACAAGCAACAGGACAAAAGAGAATGGCCTCAAGATGTGCCAGGGAAGGTTTAGACTGGATATTAGGAAGCATTTCTTTACAGAAGGGGTAGTTGGGCATTGGAATGGAGTCCCCATCCCTGGAGGGGTTGAGGAGTCGGGTTGACCCAGCGCTGAGGGGTCTGGTGTAGTTGGGAACGGTCAGGGTGATGTTTATGGTTGGACTAGGTGATCTTCAAGGTCTTTTCCAACCGAGATGATTCTGTGATAAGTAACTCATGGTTCTATCTCCTTACAGCTGTCCTCTTTTTTCTATGGAGTTCCTAATCTATACATACTATATGCGATTTACATATGGTTTTAGTAAATCACTAAGCCCATTTTACTATTGAATTTCTCAGTATGTGACTCAGTGAAGTGGTTTTATGTCAAAAGCACACTAAAAAAGATAAGCCTAGACAGCATTTTCAGCCTACAATACATAAGTTAATAATGTATTGTTTAGTTTTCTGCATCTACACCAAAATGATGAGGTGATGATTTGTTTAAACATTAGGAGTTTTAAATATATATTGATTAAATATTATCTAAGAACAGATTAAAGGGAAGTAGTACATAAAATCAATGTTTGATTGATTACTTTACAAGCAGGGACTTATGAGACTAGAAGCTAAAATAAAGTGGAAGGCATAAACTAAATAATCCACCAAGTGGATTCCATTACAGTTCTATGTCTGCAAAATTAAAATCCTGGTAACACAAACAATAATGTTACAACAGAGGGTAAAACATCACCTAGCCAGCAGGAAAGCAACAGTGTTACTTCAATTGCCATTGTTTTCGACAGTGCACAGTGAGGTTCTCTGAAAACTACAAAGTACCTCCCTTTATTTTTTCATCATTGTCTACTAGATTCAGGTTAGTTCTTTTTTGCCTGTTGTAGTAACGCTGTTGAGAGGGAAAAAAAAAAAATAAAAAAATCACAACACATTTACACTGAACTTTAATGATATTATTATACATATGAGCCAAACTTCTATATCCATAAACAAACTTCTAAGCCAAGTTTGCAGTTAGCATGAAAGGAACAAATCTCGACAGGTTTTTAGTTCCAAGCTCCTAGAGATGCCCAGTACTTCTATTAGTGTCCTATATAGCCCTCTTCTCAAGAATTCTCCTGGTGGAGCAGCTATACGGTAAGTGGGATGAGAAAGCCAGAACATCAGGGAAGCAGAAGAGAAATTAAAAGAGTAATAATAAGCAGTTTACTTATTCTGCTTATGCTATAAACTGTAAACAGTGTGATTATAGGAACTTCCAGAGCTACCTTCAGGGCTCAGTTAGGTAACAAAAGGGGTGCATAAACATGTCTCAGAGCCACTTTCTATTTCACCTTTACTTCATTTGCCATTGGACTCAACTAGCAAAAAGTGATGATGGGAAGTACTGATTCCCACATTCAAAAGCTGGATCTGACTTTTGGGATCTCTGGTTTCTGTATCTTTCCACATTTGAGGCTCAAAGTTTTCTACACTGAAATAAAAAATCTATAGCAGAAACTACAATTCCTTATTTTGAGGGACACCAGCCTGTCCTACAAGAGCCACACAAAGCGTTTGAACTCTGTCCTGCAAACAACTCTTGCACGTACCTATCCACACGAAGAGCCCACTGAATTTAACAGAGCAGGCAAAATACAAAGTTACATAAATAAGTGTTGTGGGACTGGGGCTTTGAGCATTATACATCTGCTTCTTCCCAAAAGATAAGACAAAATACATCTTATTTTCTACCTGTACATTGTGTGAAAATAGAGCTCAGGAGAGCAAGTATTCTAAAAAAGATA